CGTGTTATTTGTTCTCTTGTGTTTAGTTTTGGTTTCATATTTTCTTTACAACATCTTAAATTGATATTTTATCTTTTTATCTTAGAACTTTATTCTTTGATAACGTAAGTGTTCAAAACCATAAAACCTACATATTGCATTAAACTACAATTTGATAAAGCATGCTTTTATTTTTATCAAGTTCATAGAATTCTCTAGTTTGTTATTTGTTAAATTGGCTTATAGGAAATTTAGAATTCTGTTTACTTTTCATACATTTGAGTATTTATAGGATTTTATGTTTTCGATATTTAATGTAATTTTTTTCAGAAAATATACTTTGTATGATTTGTTTTTTTAGTTTTATTGAGATTTTTTTTTTTGCATAGCCTATCGCTTATCATAAATGAAATGAACCTCATGTATTAAAGTGTAATATAAGGTAATAACGTACATTGTGTGTTAAATATACTTAGTAGTGTAATAAATACAGTTTGATATTAAACTTAAAAAATCATAAACCAGTGATTTAGTTTATTTTGTTTATGTTAGCTTTAATTGATCATATATATATTTTCTACATCTAAATTTTGAGTTACACTTTTATTCAGCTAAAAAATGTATGTCAGAATTGAACAGCTTAAACTTTAAAAAGCCTTATGTGAAGATAGTTGTTTACATATTAGTAAATCAAATTAAGCAGGTAGGTTAGATCATTTTCTTTTAAAAATAAGACTTTAATTTGTTGATTTAACTTTTAAATAATTTTGAGATTTTTCTTAAATTATGTTACATAAAATTTAATTTATTTATGGTGGTTTTGACATGTTAATCCTCGGTACTATTCTGTATATGCATTTAGTTTCCATGATACTAAATTTAAATTAATTTTTTTTTAGGGGCTTCATAAAAGTCAGAGTTCGTGTTTGTCAGGAGCTAATGAAGAACAACCTCTGTTTTCTACTGGGTCTGCCCAGTATCACCAGGCAACTAGCACTGATTTTAAGAAGCGGAATGAACATCTAACTTTGTGTAGTGATTCAGTACCACAGAAAGTCGCTGACAGTCACCTCTCCTCTCATGTTGCTACCTCAGATGGACAACAAGGCATTATTTTTACCAAAGACAGCCAGCCTTCAAAACATAGATCATTTGTGCCTGAAACAAGCAGGCATACTGGAGACACATCAAATGGCTCTGCTGATGTCAAGGGACTTTCTAATCATGTTCATCATGTGATAGCAGATGTTGTTTGCAGTCCTAATCATGGAGATTCACCAAATTTATTAATTTCAGATAATCCTCAGCTTTCTGCCTTGTTGATTGGAAAAGCCAGTGACAATATGGGTACTGGAACTTGTGACAAAGTCAATAATATTCCCCCAGCTGTTCATACAAAGATTGATAATTCTGTTGCCTCGTCACCCTCTTCAGCCATTTCCACAGCAACACCTTCTCCTAAGTCCACTGAGCAGACAAGTATACACAGTGTTACCAGCCTTAACAGTTCTCACAGTGGATTACATGCAGTTAATGGAGAAGGGCTGGAGAACTCACAGAGTTCTACAAAAGTAGACCCACCTTTAGTTAACCACAGATCCACTTCTCAGATCATACCATCGATGTCTGTGTCTATATGCCCCAGTTCAGCTGAAGTTCTGAAAGCATGCAGGTCAGTGTGGGAAAGGTCATCACAAAATGAAAATGCTCAACTACTGACCAGATCAGAAGAGTCTAAAATGTGATTTGATCTCTTAAGAAACATAATGTGCAAAATATTATGCAGTCACTCATATGAAACAAGTTTCATAAGGAAATTTATGTTTGAAATTACTGTGTTTGAAAGTTGTGATTTTATCTTTTTTTTCTTTAAGTTCTGGGTTACATGTGCAGAGTGTGCAGGTTTGTTACGTAGGTATACATGTGCCATGGTGGTTTGTTGTACTTATCAACCCATCATCTAGGTTTTAAGTCCTGCATGCATTTCGTATTTGTCCTAACGCTGTCCCTCCCATTGCCCCCTACCCGTCAACAGGCCCTGATGTATAATGTTTCCCTCCCTGTGTCCATGTGTTCTCATTGTTCATTTCCAACCTATGAGTGAGAAGACTTAGTGTTTGTTTTCTGTTCCTGTGTTAGTTTGCTGAGAATGATGGCTTCCGATTTCATCCATGTCTCTGCAAAGGACATGAACTGATTCTTTTTTATGGCTGCACACTGTTGCATGGTGTATATGTACCACATTTTCGTTATCCAGTCTATCATTGATGGGCATTTGATTTGGTTCCCAGTCTTGTCTATTGGGACTAGTGCTGCAATAAACATACTTGTGTATGTGTCTTCTTAGTTGAATGATTTATAATCTTTTGGGTATATACCCAATAATGAGATTGCCTGGTCAAATGGTATTTCTGGTTTTAGCACCTTGAGGAATCGCCACATTGTCTTCCACAATGGTTGAACTAATTGACAATCCCATCAACAGTGTAAAAGTGTTCCTTTTTCTCCACAGCCTTGCCAGTATCAGTTGTTCCTGACTTTTTAATGATCGCTATTCTAACTGGTATGTGACAGTATCTCATCGTGGTTTTGATTTGCATTTCTGTGAAGACCAGTGATGAGCAGTTTTTTGTGTTTGTTGGCTACATAAGTGTCTTCTTGATGGAACATTGTTTTTTTCTAGTAAATTTGTGTAAGTTCGTTGTAGTTTCTGGATATTAGACCTTTGTGAGACAGAAAGATTGCAAAAACTTTTTTACCATTCTGTAGGTTGCCTGTTCACTCTGATGATAGTTTCTTTCGCTTTGCAGAAGTCCTTTAGTTTAATTAGATCCCATTTGTCAATTTTGGCTTTTGTTGCCATTGCTTTTCGGGTTTTAGTCATGAAGTCTTTGCTCATGCCTATGTACTCAGTGGTATTACCTAGGTTTTCTACTGTGCTTTTTATGGCTTTAGATTTTACATTTAAGTTTTAATCCATCTTGAGTTAATTTTTCTATAAGTTGTAAGGAAGGGCTCCAGTGTCAGTTTACTGCATGTAGTTAGTTTTCCCAAACCGTTTATTAAACAGGGAATCTTTTCCCGATTGCTTGTTTTTCTCAGGTTTCTCAAAGATCAGATGGTTATAGATGTGTGGTGTTACTTCTCAAGCTTCTATTCTGTTTCATTGATCTATATCTGTTTTCCTACCAGCACCATGCTGCTTTTGTTACTGTAACCTTGTAGTATACTTAGGTAGTGTAAGGCCTCCAGCTTTGTTCATTTTGCTTAGGATTATCTTGGCTATGTGGGCTTTTTTTGGTTCTGTATGAAATTTAAAGTAGTTTAAAAAAAATTCTCTGAAGAAAGTCAATGGTAGCTTGATGGAAATAGCATTAAATCCATAAATTACTATGGGCAGTATGGCCATTTTCACAGTATTGATTCTTCCTGCCCATGAGCATGAAGTGTTTTTCCATTTGTTTGTGTCCTCTTACTTCCTTGAGCAGTGGCTTGTAGTTCTCCTTGAAAAGGTCCTTCGCATCCCTTGTAAGTTGTTATTTCTAGGTATTTTACTCTCTCTGTAGCATCTGTGAATGGGAGTTCACTCATGATTTGGCTCTCTGTTTGTCTATTATTGAAATACAGGAATGCTTGTGGTTTCTACACATTGATTTTTGTATCCTGAGACTTTGCTGAGTTTTTTATTAGCTTAAGCAGTTTTGGAGCTGAGATGATGGGGTTTTCTAAGTATGCAATAGTGTCATCTGCAGAGACAATTTGACTTCCTCTCTTCCTGTTTGAAAACCTTTATTTTTTTCTCTTTCATGATTGCCCTGGCCAGAACTTCCAATACTATGCTGAACAGCAGTGATAAGAGAGGGTATCCTTGTCTTCAGCACATTTTCAAAGGGAATGCTTCCAGTTGTTGTGCACTTAGTCTGATATTGGCTATGGGTCTGTCAAAAGTATCTCTTATTATTTTGAGACATATTCCTTCAATACCTGGTTTATTAGGAGTTTTTAGCATGAAGAGAATTTTATCAAAGGCTTATTCTGCATCTTTTGAGTTAATCATGTGACTTTTATTATTGGTTCTGTTTATGTAATGGATTATGTTTATTGATTTGTGTACTTTCAACCAGCCTTGCATCCCAGGGATGAATCACTTGATCATGGCGGATAAACTTTTCAGTGTGCTGCTAGATTCAGTTTGCCAGTATTTCATTGAGGATTTTCACATCGATATTCATCAGGGGTGTTAGCCTAATTTTTATGTTTTTTTTTGTGTGTGTGTCTCTGCCAGGTTTTGGTATCAGGATGATTCTGGCCTTATAAAATGAGTTAGGGAAAAGTCCTTCTTTTTCTATTATTTGGAATAATTGCAGAAGGTAAGGTAGCACCTGCTCTTTGCACATCTGGTAGAATTCAACTGTAAATTTGTCTGATTCTTGGCTTTTTAATTTGTAGGCTATTTTTTACTGCCTTAGTTTCCGAACTTGTTACTGGTCTATTCAGGGACTTGTGTTCTCACAGGTTTAGTCTTGGGAGACTGTATGTATCCAGTATTTAACCATTTCTTTTTCTAGTTTATTTGCATAGGAGTATTTATAGTGTTCTGATAGTAGTCTGTATTTCTGTGGGATCAGTGGTGATATCCCCTATGTCATTTTTTATTTGTCTATTTGATTCTTCTCTTGTTTCCTTATTGTTCTAGCAAGTGTTCTATTTCGTTAATCTTCTCAAAATACCAGCTCCTGGACTAATTGATTTTTTTGATGAGTTTATGTCACTGTCTATTTCAGTTCTGCTCTGATCTTAGTTATTTGTTGTCTTCTGCTAGATTTTGAATTGTTTGCTTTTCTCTAGTTTTTTTAATTGTTAAGTTAGGGTGTCAATTTTAGACCTTTCCAGCTTTTTCACGTCACACTTAGTGTTATAATTTTCTTGTTAACACTGCTTTAGCCGTGTCCCAAAGATTCTGGTACGTTGTCTCTTTCTTCTCATTGGTTTCAAATAACTTACTTATTTTGGCCTTTATTTTATTGTTTACGTAGTACTTCAAGAGGAGGAGCATGTTGTTCAATGTCATTGTAGCTGTGTGGTTGATTGCACTGTGGTCTGAGAGATTTTGTTACAATTTCTGTTCTTTTGAATTTGCTAAGGAGTGTTTTACTTCCAATTATGTGTCAATTTTAGAATAAGTGTGATGCGATTTTGAAAAGAATGTATATTCTGTGGTTTTGGCCTGGAGAGTGCTGTAGATGTCTGTTAGATCCGTGTAGTCCAGAGCTGAGTTCAAGTTCTGGATATCCTTGTTAATTTTCTGTCTCATTGTTCTGTCTAATGTTGAAAGTGGGGTGTTAATTTCTCCTACTATTGTTGTGTGGTAGTCTAAGTCTCTTTCTAGGTCTCTAAGAAGTTGTTTTATGAATCTGGGTGTTCACGTATTGGGTGCATATCTGTTTAGGATAGTTAGTTCTTTTTCCTTTAATCCCTTACCATTATGTTATATCATGGCCATCTTTGTCTTTTTCTGTCTTTGTTGGCTTAAAATCTATTTATCAGAGACTAGCATTGCAACATCTGCTTTATTTTATTTATTTATTTAGTTAGTTTCTTTCCATTTGCATGGTAAATATTCTGCCATCTTTTTATTTTGAGCCTGCGTGTGTCTTTGCACGTGAGATATTTCTCCTTAATATAGCACACTGATGGGGCTTGACCCTCTCCAATCTGCCAGTCTATGTCTTTTAATTGGGGCATTTAGCTCATTTACATTTAAGATTATATTGTTATGCATAGAGTTGATCATGTCATCATGATGTTAACTGCTTATTTTGCACATTAGTTGATGGGGTTTTTTTTGTAATGTCATTGGTCTTCATATTTTTGTGTGTTTTTGGAGTGGCTGGTACCAGTTTTACCTTTGCATATTATATTTAGTGCTTCCTTTAGGAGCTCTTAAAAGGTTGGCCTCATGGTGACAAAATCCCTCAGCATTTGCTTGTCTGGAAAGGGTTTTAATTTTCCTTAACTTATGAAGGTTAGTTTGGCTGTTATAAAATTCTGGGTTGAAAGTTCTTTTGTTTAAGAATGTTGAATATTAGCCCCCCTACTCTGTTCTTCTGACTTAAAGGGTTTCTGCAGAGAGATCCACTGTGAGACAGACCTGCTTTCTTTGTAGAAACCTGCCCTTTCTCTCTGACTGCCCTTAACAATTTTCCTTCATTTCAGCCTTGGAGAATCTGACAATTAATGTGTCTTGGGGTTGCCCTTCTCCAGGAACATGTTAGTGACATTCTGTGTATTTCCTGAATTTGAATACTGGCCTGTCTTTCTAGGTTGGGAAAGTTCGGGATATTATCTAGAAGTGCATTTTCCAACTTGGTTCCTTTCAGGTATACCAAGTCAATTGTCGTTTGGCCTTTTCACATAGTCCTACATTTCTTTTCACTTAGTCCCACATTTAATTCATTTTTTTCATTGTTTTTTTCTCTAATCTTGTCTTCACTCCTTATTTCAGTAAATTGATCTTCAATCTCTGAAATTTTCTTCCAGTTGATCGATTCGGCTATTGATAAAATACTTTTGTATGCTTCACAAAGTCCTCGTGCTGTGTTTTTGAGCTTCATCAAGTCGTTCATATTCTTCTCTTAACTGGTTATTCTAGTTAGCATTTCCTGTAACCCT